TTGACCTTAGAACTGAAGAAGCTTCTCGGATGAGAGGTGAAACGTCTTCAAGCAACTTAAAGAAGTCCAGACGCTTTTCTTTGCAAGCTCCTTTGACGATTAGCATGAATGAGCAACAGGTGTGCGTTGAAGGTGGGTGCAGAGGTGGGGGAGCAAGGTCCAGCTCTGCCCTGGTGGGAGAGGCGAAGGCAAATAAAAACACACCACACCGGATCCTGAGATTCGTGACACTTTTTTATGAATGGATGATCAATGGGCAGGACATTTCCAAATCCATGGACCCTGTTGGGTATCACTGAATTGTTGACTATTGTTTTTTTGTGAGGTGGAGCTTCCCCACCACACACATAAATGAATGTACTTTTTCACTGCTGCTGTTTATTTAATTATGACTGTCATTTCCGATACAAATAACTATACTTTGTTTTAACTCTAGACTCCCCTGCCTCTTTGTCCCTGTTGGTTCTCTACATCATCATGGGCATGGTGACAGGTGGCATAGTGCTCTGCTGGTGCTTCTGGTCACCTGGCTGCTTCATGTGGCGAGTTAGCGCCTGTCGCTTCTTACCCTGCTGCAACTCAGCCTGTGCCTCATGCCAGTTGTGCACTCACAGCTGTATCCGCAATAAGGAGCACCGACCGGGAAAAGTCACTCCACACACACATGCCAGTGGCACACCGATGGGGACCGCGGTGGTTACTACAGCAGGTGTGTAAAGCAGCAGGACTGTCCAACAGGTCACGATTGGTACACAGAGATATGGCATGGACATGAATCATGAAGGCTGAGTGGTGTGTGACGATGTGTGAGACTCTGGCATGGACAGATCTGATGGAGTCGATTAAATGTGTTTTAAATGTAATCACACAGGTGGTGTTGTTTATGTTACTATGAGAAGATAAAGCAGGATAGAATTTATATCTGCAATTTAGTATGAAAGTATGTGATCAGTGTTTAGTCATATACATGCTATTTTCACTCTGTCTTTGAAGTAACTGTTTAGTCATGCTGTGAAAATATACCACGTGTCCACAAAGTATGCTGAGGTCATATACTGAAGAAACAGCAGTGGAGTGGCCCACCTGGTGACAACAGCTGTTTGTCCCTTTGAAAAATTCACTTTTCACTCTCCATGCTGACATACTGTGGGGGAACATAACTAATCCATCC